TATAAATATTGTTTTAACTTGCATTTGTATAAAACTTCATCCTGTTAAAGAAATACTGGAAGGAAAATGTATAAAACAGTAATATTATATAACACACAAGAGCCACTGCCCGTTTTTTCCACTCTATGCCTCTAAATGATACATCAGAGTAAAATGTAAAGAATTAATTTCTGTTTTACCCACTACTTTTCCAAAGAAATTATTGAAACTAATATAGTCAGTACAGGAGGCCTAAATGAAAGTTGGTGTCTTCCTTTCAGTACTCGTATGAATGTAACTTTTCCACGTTTGTTTTCATTCCATCTGACATGGGACTTCTTTATTTCTGTCAGCCTGATAGTCATCCATTTGAAGTTCTGAAAGGCACAAATGGTGATCTCCATGCTGACCCGTGTATACTACTGGTTGATTTGTATACTGGGTAAAATATCTGGTGAAGTTGTTAAAATACATGAAAGGACTTCACATTTATCAGGAAGTTGTGGCATAGACAAGACATTCCAAACCCCAAATTTGAAACAGTAACTGTATGAGGCATACATTGCCAAAAATTTGTAACCAGCAAGAATCACATCAACAGAAATGTTCTTGAGTTTAGCACAAGGACTTGTATGTGTGAAACACAAGTGATTGTACTGTATATAATATCATTAATACCTAGCATTCTGTATATATAGAACACATCAATTTTCTTTGATGTATCTGCTGTCAAAACAGTCACGATAATTCAATCACAGTAGCATAAGAATAGGAAGGAGGAAAATTATATACTGTGCGAAAAAGAGGTCTTAAATAATATTTGGAGAGCTCTGTCTTCTGGACTATAATGCCTTGTAGGCCACTGAGTCAACTTACATTTCAGAAGAACATATCCACCTCCATCCTCAGGGTCAGATAAGCCAAGTAAGAAACCAGCATGAGGAAGGTAGTAAGCACAGAGCCTGCTTCATGGTAGTTTCTTGCTTCACCTGTTCTTCAGCCCTGAAGATGGAGCTGAACATGTTTCAGTGAAATGTCAGTTGACATTTAACGGACTACATGGCATTATATTCCAGAAGAGAGACCTCTTCATATCCACTGCTGTGAGAACCACAAGCCCTATAACAAATATCTGTTACCTAACAGAAATTTTAACGAGGAAAGAGACCAAACATCATGGACCAGTGGTTAGCACTATTGCTCTGTATTTTGGAGATTGTGGGTTCAAATCTGAGCTTAGAGAGTAGCTGTCATAGCTGAGTTTTTCATGGTTTTCCTCAGTTCCCCCAGGTGAATACTGGAATAGTGCCTTAAATTAGGCTGTGACTGTGTCTTTTTTAGTTTATTGTTCAGTACTGTTCCCACCATTATTTGACACTATAGGAATTAAATAAATAATTTTCCTGGGAAGTAAAGCGCGGCCAGTGTGTAAGGCTGACAACCTTACCGCCATCTTTGAGCCGATTGTCTAGATAATGTGGGACCCTTAACATCTCACAACCCTATTCATGGCCTGTTACAGGGATAGCTTTACTTTTTACTATAATCTAAGCAATTGAAAGCATTATTAGGTAACTCAGAATAATAAGGAAAGAAATACATCAGTATTTAGTGAGCCTTGTGTAGTTGAAATATTATATTATTACAGACACAAACTTGCTTCATATACGATTATGAATTCACTGTTCTGTGTATATTAGAACACTGGGCACTAATGGATTAATATTTCCATGGAATATAGTGTAGTGACTGTGGAAAATAGGAGTGTGGATAGTATTGTGTGGAGCATGCTTGTTGGTGAGATTATGACTAATAGGCAGTGTGGTGGTACCTGCATATAATTTTGTAATGTCAAGAAATAAATATGCTGTATTGTCAGTGTTCATTGTTCTGTTATTATTGTCATACACAATTTTATTTACATTTTAATGAATAAAAGAAACATAAAATGCAATTGTGAGCTATCATTGTTTGGAAATACAGCAACAAAAATTGTGCAGTCATTTGTATATTAAAGGACTTTTAATAAAAGGCTTTGTAGAAAATTCTTTCATTTGAAATATTTTACATTAAATACAGAAAGCGGATGATATTTATTTTTAATCAAAAATTTTTAAATTGAAAGTGCAGCCTCGTGCATGTATCTGAAATAATGGACCCTCTTATAATATAACACTTTTCTGATCTGTGGCATCAGAACAGCATTCAGTAGTAATTGCTCATGACTAGATTTGAGAGGGTGAGGAAGGGAGAAATTTTACCCAGCTTAACACCTTACACACTATTAAGGTGGACTGACATATACAGATTTTTGTTTTTTCATTGTATGTTATATTAGTTCAATGATAAAACAAGTTCTGTAAACAATTTTTAGCTGACTTTCTTTCAAATGCTTTCATCTGCATACAGACGCTAGCAGAAATTATTTCACAAATTAGTTGTCTGCTTCTGGGCATAATTTGTAATTTGCATTACCATAACATACATACATTCTCGTGACAGGAAAGCCCAAGCAGTGAAGTATATGCATTTGGTCTGGATGACCAGTATTGAGTTTTCTCCAGGGATATGAATTCTTGTCACATTCACAATGAGAAGTTAGCAAAATTGCACTCATTAGTTTTGCCATATATGTTAGTTCATATGTGATAACTCGAGAACATTGAAGTAATTTTTCATAAAATTTGATATTGTGAAGTTTCACTAAATCTATCAGCATACTGTCCTTCAATTTTGGTTAAAACTGGGTGTGTAATATGAAGTTCTGCATTAGTTGCTGCTGCGTGTAACTCACTGTTCATTGTAGTGAAAAAGCTTTGAGCCAAAGTTGCGTAGAAGAAAGGCACGTTTTATTGTGCATACAATTTTTTGTCTCATGACTCTCTGAGATAATTAAATTACGGTGAATGAACATGCCAGGATTGTTATGCCATGTGTACATGTGCTAACTTGTTACCTTTGCCATTATATTTATAACTCTTATTTGGAGATGATTAAATGCATGATGTACTTGTTAACAGCTCAAACCTTTATTACAGTTTGTAGTTATACCTGTCTTAACTGGAGGTTTTGGAAACTGATTTGTTCACTTGATATTAGGAGCATTCAAGGATCCCCATACATGCCTTGCTGTCATATGATCTAATGTACTTCATTACTCTAGTTTTGATAATCATTCTGTGGATGATTTCATTGAATATGAAAGACCTTAGGTGAATATGTATTGTAATGAATAACACTGGAGGTCAGAAAATTTAAATTTGATACATGTCAGGAATGTTGTATTCTTTTTGTGTCAAACACAGATAGGAGCTTGAAATATTGGAACTGGAGGCACAAAGAAGAATTAAAACTCAAGATGTGAATGGATATAACATGGCACTAAATAGCAGTAGCACAAATGATTAAATTACAAGATAAAATGGAGCTGCAAATGAAACAAAGAGGAAATTTAATGACAAGAGATGAAGTAATCGGACAAGTGATGAATTATACTATGAGCATTGCAGTGAAAAAATGTCTGCATTTATGCACTGAGGTAACAGCTTTGTGCAGGGGACATTTTGAGAAGGTTAAAACCAAGGAGAACTCACCACTGGAATTTTGTAGATCTCGGTGAGTGACAAGTATCACATGGAAGGTTGTTGTATCCTCTGGAAAACACACAGGAAATTGTAGATTTTGTCAGCATTCTGGAGAAAGGTCAGACTTCTACTTGCTGTGCTGATTGAGATCATTGAATCTTGTGCTCTCACACTGTTCCTACAGTATAACCTCACAAAACCTTAGGCAGTTACTCTGATGATCCTGCATCACTTCTGTGGTATAACGACTTGGCTTATGAGTAATACATTTAGATCTCTACTGATAATCCAGATTTCTCTGTTTGTCTTTACTCCCTGACCATGGTCAGAGCACTCAGCCTGTGTTATGTCCATGGTGTCTCTTCATATTTTATTCTAACAATTCAGGATTATACTTCATGTGCTGCTACTCAAAAACTGTGGACCAGGACATGTTTTGTTTGCTGTGTGCCAACTGAAGTGTCTGTAGGATATTCATCCCGTTTCATAAGTCACTGTAAAATATGTTGGCCGTTATTCGTGGGAATCAATTTCCCTATTTCAGAACCTTCTATGGACTGGACTTTTCTCCAGAATCTATATCAGAACTGTTAGTCTGACACCAGCTGAACAAATCTGTTGTGTGAAAGAGGCATGCACAAGCACCCTCTAGTTTACCTGCTGAATATTGCTATATTCACTTCTGTCCCAGAATTTCATGTATATACAGTTGTATAGATCACTGTACGTCGTGGTGCAAGGGCCGAGAAGGCCCACCCCTTATACATTCATTCATTCAAGTTCATGTATAAAGATATGTTCATTTATATTTGAATTTTTAAAATTATGATACAATGAAATTGCTCTTCTGAGTTGTAATTGTATTTCAAGTATATATTTTCTGTATGCACATATTCCTTTTTTAAGAAGCTTACAATTTTAAAATTATTAAAATACAAAAAACTTGCTCTTCCTGTATTTGATATTTTATAATTGTATGAGTTTATTCTCCATGTTCTAGGCATTGTGGTAATAGACTGTTTTGTTGCACTAAATCTGTCATGTCTTACATGATAAGCCAGTATGTAGTTTTGTGGGATGACCACCAATATTGAAAGATCTAGCCATATATTTTTGTTATGTCATAGGGATGATTGTTTGGGCTCTTATTGTTGTGTAGTATCTGTTATGGGCTGTACTGTGACTACATGTCAGGTGTCTTATCATTATTTATACCCATCCCCCATTCACATGGTGCTATCGGATAGTTTTCCTATAGAAACTGTTAAAAGTTTCAACAGATATTTGGATTTGATACATTCCTTTATAAGAAAAGGGCAGAATGGATGACATTTGAAATGTGATATCTCTGTAAAGGACTGGGGTATATGGAATTATGGCATGTAAAAAAATGTGTTAATTATTACAAGTGTAGAAAGCTACCAGATGTGAGCAGCATAATGACAAAATTATTTTCTTTATTGGAATTTAACATTGTGTAACCAAGATTCTCATGTAATGCAAAGGTAGGCATTTCCCTTGCTCTTCGTGACAGGACAGAACATCGTCCTGATTGTTCATACATCGTTGTGGTTTAAATTATTATAAGCTTGAAAGTGAAATGTCATAAAATGTTCCATTTATAAACAGTGCTAACAGAATTATTATGGTTATTACATATTTTCAGTCTCCTTGTTTAAAGCCTTAATTACTAAAGACAGTAACCATAAGATGTTTTTGAATCGTAAAGTGTGTATATGAAATCATAGATCAGAGTAAACATTCATTTACCAGACCATGATTTTCTAAGTATGCATCTGCAAGCCATGGGCATTAGGACTGTAAATGAATGTTTCACAGAAAACGTTTGTTTAAAAAGACCTATTGGTGAGCTGTTAATTAGACACCCATTAGAATTTAAATTATTTAGAAAAAGATAAAACTACACATAATATCACATCTTATAATAATATCTTCATATGTTCAATGGAAGCTGAACCTTTTTACATTTGTCTTTGCAAATGATAGTAGAACCAACCAACTTTTCTTATTCATAGAGCACTTATAACCCTGAACTCAATTTTAATATATTTCAGAAATTATTTTTTATAAATGTAACATCTTTCATATATAAGGGGAACTGAATTGCAGAATTAGAGCAATTTTCTGATAAACTTACAAAATTTGGTGCCATTAGCATAATTATCTTAAATTTTGGGCAATTTTGGTGCTGTAACTAATGGATTAGTTTGTTCTAGAATTTTACGACCATCAGTTTTGTAGTCAAATGTGCAATTATGAAGTTCTGAGTAACGGTGGGTAGCACAGAAGTGTTTCTCACATCGACAGGTATATACATTGGTAATGTTCAGTCTCTTCCTGCACACTGCACACCGGCTTCGGACTGTGCTTTGTTTCTTGGTGGAGACAAGGGGCAAGGATTGTGGATCCAGTTCCTGTGTAAGGGACAGAGGGGTTTCACCCAGTTCTCCGATCATCTTTTGTGTTGCATGCAGCAAAGTACCTTGACCAGAAGGCAGTTGTCGTCTTGACTGTCTCAGTGAATGAGCATCACGATTTATTTCTGCCTGGTGGTGCATGGTAGGAAGATCACATTCTATTCTATCATGCTTTTTGGCAGATGGTAACATGACACTTCTGCGTCCATACCTTGGAGACTGTGTTGTCACATCAATCAGAGAAGGCTGAGGAGGAAGTGTCAAGTTAATTTCAGGCCTTTTCTCCAGATGCAAAAAATCTTTTGGATCATTTTCATTCTTTCTTTGTTCTACAGGTAAATCACCTAGCATTTCTAATTGAGAATTACTATAATGGACTCTATGCTGTTGTCCCTGTCTGTGCCATTTAGTGTCACTGAGGATGGCACATAATTCTTGAGCAGCTTTCTGTTGCTGGGTCAACTCATCAGGGGAAGTTCTGGGTCGATCATCATCTAAAATTAATTGAGACACTCTGTATCGGTTTTGACTACTACTAACAGGTGTCCTTATTCGCTCCTGATGAATCTGTGAAACTGTGAATGTGGTTGCTTCTTTGGATGGAATTATAATGTGATTTGGAGGAGAAAAATGTTCGTTCTTTCCTGCTGCTGAATCATTTTCTTCTTCTACTATGGCAATGTTTGGTGTTGATATGACTGAAACTCCCTGGCTGCTGCCCAGGCTTAAGTCTTCCATAGAGCTCTTAGTTTTTTCACTGCAACTTCCACTCACTATACCTATCCTGTGCCCATATTCACTATTTTGTCTTTGTTTCATATCTAGATGTCCACTGTTTCTTGTACTCTTACTGCCAGAAAGAGGAACAGAAGATGAAACAATTGCTGGTAAGGTGTTCTGTTGTGATCCTCTTCTACCATGTTTATTCATGGTTAGTACTGAATTATTGTCATGTTCACTTACAGCATCTGAGAATTTAGTTCCTACGTCTCTATTTCGTCTTGCTTGCAACTGATTCTGTGCTTGGAGAAGGGAACTTGTTGCTAGATAATTTCCGCCATTATGACGTCTGCATGAAGAGGCAGATGTTAGATTTATTTCTGACTTAATGATGGGTGGAAGCTGTAGGATATTACTTTGACCCTTTGTCTGTGGAACTTCAATATGCTCTGGAGACCTTCCTTTATGATTGTGATGTGGTCGAGGTGTTCCCCTACGATTATGAAGTAGAGGACGTTTACCAGAAAGAACACGTGCCGATGGTTTCTTTGGCTGTAACATATCAAAACACAGTTGTTAATTCCATTCTGATCATTGTATTTTATTGAAACTGTAAATGGGTACAAACATATTGCTCAGATACGTGTTTATATATGGACTGTGTTATTGTGCCTGTTGGTAATATCATGTCAGTTATACATTTTAACTCAACAAAACCATGTATCATGATGTAATGGGTAGCACTGGTTCTTTGTAATTGTCTGATTCAATTTGTGGCTGCTTGGTGACACCAGCTATCATTAAAACCCAATTAGCTCAGTTTTGAAGACTGAAGAGACCTGGAGGGGTGGATACACATGCAAGCGCGCGCGCGCACACACACACACACACACAAACATCATAAGAAGATATTATTTGTGTTGAACATATATACATAAGAGTCCCTAAAAGTAGAGATGAGCGGAAATAAATATAGGGTGCATTCCGCAAAAAAAGATCACTGAGCTTCAAAATTAATTTACAAGTGTGAGCTAAAAGGAAGCAGATACAGGAGAATAACTAAAAATATGAAATACAATTAAACACGACTTTTGGTCTGGCCTGCAGATGACAGTGGTAAGAAACAAACATGAACTGTATGTTACTTTTAATTTAGCACTATGTTAAATTTCTGTTACAGTGGTCATGTAGATTAGGAATTGCCGAACATATGAAAATGGAAGAATACCATAAGTTTTGGTCATATAATGGAACTAGAGGCAATAAAATACAGATTGTCCATATGTTAAACATATCATTGTATTTTTCACAAACTTTATATTGATGCTTCCTACCAACACAGAAATTGGCAATTAATACCGAGTTTTAATTTTAATTACAGTTTGCTAAACTATCACCAGACATTTTCTTTATTCTTTATATTAAGGGGGGAACATGTGAACCTAATATTTATCATTGTCAAAATTTTCTTCCACAGCAGATAAATACACAGCCCATATGTTCCACACATTTTGGACAAGAGGGAAGAAAAATTGAAATCCAACATACAGTTGCCAACTACACCATTGAATTCACTGTACTACGTGTTCATAGTGCCCAGATGTAAATTAAAATTTTAATTTTGGACACGGAGGTTACTAAAATACATGAAAATTATAATCTTGCCTTCTTCTGCAAAGACAATTTTTCCATCCTTGTCCGAAGCTCTTGCATTTTCCCCATTGTAACAGAGTTTTCTTGGAGTCTTCTTTCAGCTTCTTCTGGCTCGTCCTCGGCAAACAGATTTCTGTAAAAAAAAAAGTTTTAAATTTCAGTACTTACACCTTGATTCCACATTACTGGTAGTTATGTTTGTAACATCTGGTACCTTCCATTGGCAGTATTAAATCCATTATGGTTTCAAATAAAATGTATCTACATAGTTGGTCATTTAAACATTTATAATCTAATCATGGAGAAATGTGGCAGAAATACATAAATTCTATCAAGTACAAATTCTGTAAGGGTAGAATATTACTACTTGCATTAAATTAGAAAGGAGTATTTCATCAGTTTGGGTACGCTTAACTCTGTATTTCACCCTTTACAGCTTCTAAGGTTGACATAAATTATTCATTTAAGGAGTGCTCACATGTGAGAAGTCAATTTATTTTTACTGAACTTCATTTAAGAACAGAATGCCAGCACAGTACAGACTATAAAGTAAAAAAAAGAGTAAAGGTATCCCTGTAACAGGCTGTGGAGGCCCATAAGGTTGTGAGATGTTGAGGTTCCCATATTTCATAGACAATTGACTCATAGATGGTGGCAAGGTTGTCAGCCTTACACACCGGCCGCCCTTTACCCCCAAGAATATTCCTGGTACTCATTTCTGTTAGAGGCTGAGTCGACCCCAAGGCCATAGTGCGGCTGGAAGGATGAGGTCAATTGAAAAAATCCACGTCATTGGGATTTGATCCCGCAACCTTCCAGCTTGTAGCACAGGGCCTCAGAAGTGATGTTGAAGGAACTGGTCATGTCAGGCTGCTAATTAAGATGACCAGTTTTGAGGTTGGGAATCTCACATGGAACAGGAGCAGTGTGCTTCAATATTCAGTTTAAAAAGATTTAACAGATAGGGTGATTACTAAGACAGCAGTCACTACAGTTGCTTCCTCTACTAAGAAATTCATATTCTTTCAAATATTTGGCAAACATTGGTGTTAGCAAACCATATTTATGTTTATGGTCATTTGATAACAGCAAAAAGAAGACAGATGCAATATGAATAAAGGAACACTTACAAGCAGACAGCTTGCAGTATAACAGAATGCAGCAGAAAAGAAGTACTTGAGATTGCGTGCTCTGGTCATCAGACAGTATGGATGATTGTGGAGAAGTCAAATGTTTGGTTGGCACTTGCCACTCTGATGCTTTGCTGATCTGAACACACACTGCATTTGCCACCATCATACCAAGAATGCTGATCCGCAAGTAATGAAATGACTGCATAAGGATCACCGGCAAACTCATAAATGTATGAAGTAACATTCCACACTTAAGTCTGTTTCGAGTGTCACGCACCAACAGATTTATTCCTGAGGAGATATTCACTTATCTACAGACTGCAGTATGCCTGATGTGCTTTGAACTAGGTGCTCCTGTGTGACTACTCTATTAGAGCAGTTACTGCCTGAGAAGCAGTAACTCATCATGTAGTTACTAGAGGATTCTGACGATGGTGTATAACACACAGAGATACTGGCTTTTCGGGCTTTATCCATAGTCCTGGTTTTTTTAAGATAACTAAGAAAACCACGACATTATGGAAACTGGATCTGTTTCCATCCTTAGGTGTGGGAAAAACACCTATTCTGTTGGGTCCCTTAGAAAGAGCTAGCCTCAATCACTTCTTAGTTATCTTAAAAAAACCAGGACGATGGATAAAGTCCGAAAACGCAATATCTCTGTGAGTAACTCATAATGTGATTTTTATTGCTTTTGTGCATTAATGATACAGTAGAGTTTTCAAGTTGCTTACCAGTCTGCACTGCAAACATGTGCCTTCCATAGATATTTGGAACAACTGTATGAATGCTCGTAGAAGTGTGCAGCTGTTGAAGGACTATTTTTAAGGCAACTGAACTTAGGGTTTCTTAGGGCTGCCAGATTTCAGTTATGGGTTCTGTCCCAGGACTTTCTGAAGCTACTGCATATGTTACAGACAAATGTACCAGCATGAAACTTCAAAAGTAAGATTTATATTTATCATTAAATTTACATACATTTCACAAAGATGTCTTACATGGTTAAGCAATCAGTCATGAGTCAACATTGATATCACAGTTACCTGTTTATTTCACAGATTTTAATGCAGAAAATATGACTACTGTATATCAGCAAAATCTAAATTGTGTCCAGAACATTTTTCATCCAAATCCCAACATCCTGATAAGGGCTTCTAAAATTTTTTTTAGAATCTGATAGGCACACACACCATAGCTAATACCTGCACACTTTTGTGATAAGATGTCTACAGTGTTCCTTCAGTGCTCACAATTTTATATGAGGACCAATGAAAGCAGAAGTGTTAACAAAATGAATCTTAGAAGATGGTTACATCTACAGTTAAACAGAAATAAAACTGTGCTTCATGCTCATAATTTTAAAGGGTAAGCTTCAGAAAACATTCTCACCGAATGGAAGAGCCACTCCAAGATTCAGAAAGTGGTGAGTATGTCCCATCTTCATTTTCAATAACTCTGAACAAGTTGACTTGATCACCTTCACGGAAAACTAGTACCGTGACTCGACATCCAGGGGGAAGATGTTCAAACATATCCTCCCTGAAAATTTAAGTGAAGATAAGTATGAATTATTTTTGGGTCTGTCCTGTGGTCAGAACTGAAACAAAGAGGAAGAAGGGCAATGGAACATCAAAATGTAATGAGTAAGTCTAGGGCAATACATGTTACATCTCCAAATACCCCCTCACAGCTTTGTCATAGTAAGATGTTTACCTGTTACTTTCAACAAACTCTCGTAATTCCTTCCAAGCAAGCTCTTGTTCTGGAGGGAGATGTCGGGTACTAATAGGACCACCTCGCATGGATAATACCAATTTGAGTGTGGCCCCATCTTGAATGGCATAATCTATGAGACAAGCTGAATCATCTAATTCTTGGAAGTTATACAGCAAATGTTGATGTGATACAGGAATACCTGTAACACCATGGAAAATAAAACGTCCATACAACAAAACAAGAACAAGAGAGCTCAACAGCACATTGTAGAGATCTTACCTTCAACTCTCTGAATCTTTGATTTTATTGACATGACAGTATCAAACGGTGATACTGTCATCTCAAACGCTGTTCCGGTAAGTGTCTCAATATATAACTCCATAGTTCCCTCCTGGTGAAGAGAAGAATGAAATGCTGGCTGGTAGCCATTGTGCGACATTCTACATTCGTCGAGATTCGTAATGACTAGGTCCACTTTGTCTGACAGAATACATCATTTCCATGTACAGGATTAGAACTTAAATTTAATACGAACTCTTGCAGAATTCGAGTTTCTGCTAACACACTACTTCTTCTGAGCATTTTATATAATTTTATGTAGAAGGCGGTACTTTAAAGACTACCTAAACCAATCTCAAATTGGAAATTTTCTAAAATCTCATAATTACTAGAAATGTATACGGAATATGACATCAAACAACTTTAAACATCTGCTATGTTCAGAGTATACACCACTTTTCTTGCTTTCACGCTTGGGATCCTTGTAGAACCCTCTCCTTCTACTGTTACTTCTCACACTTCACTATGTGCAGACTGGCAGGAATGCAGCAGTGCTACCAACAACAAGAGATGTCACTTGTTACAATGTAACATACGCTGTGAACTGTATTCCGTACTCTACTTCAGATAGGATCAATTATTTTGTTTTACGTAACTTTGAACATATTTTCTGTAAGTTAAACGTGGATAATAGTAACGTGAGGGCTGTTTGTACTGTCTCGTTTATCGCCTGTTCCTGTAGTGTGTCACGATGGTTGGTTGCAGTACATGCAGTAAAGAAAACAAACGAAGCCCGGGATTATCAGAACGTATACAGCAAGCGATCACAAATTTGTCGCCGTTAGCAGGGGAGGAGTTAACCTTTCAACTGGATTCCTTTACAGTGCAGTAAGTTCTGGCAAATGATGGAACTGATTCCAATTTTAACAACGCATTTTCAACCAGCAAACTCCGTGGAGCAAAGCCCTTGAGAAACTAAGAGTCGTCCAAACAGTCAAATTGTCCGCATTTCATGGATGTGGAAGTCTGATTACTGTATTTACAAGATGCAATCACTAGATGCTGTCCTGAGCCAGATGAATGTAGTCTGCATCCTCGCACATGTTGTGTGTAAGTTCCATTTTAATATTATTCTCTCATCTATGCCTAGGTTTCCCAAGTGGTCTCTTACATTTAAACTTACTAAGTAAAATTTAACACACCTTTCTCAAGTTCAGGTAGTAGTGCCTAATTACATGATGCTGAGGAAAATAACTGGATGTAGGCAAGAGGAAATAAAAGGAAGCCGAAGAAAACTGAATACAGCTTCACAATTTGTATTCTTCACCAAGTATTATTATAGTGATCAATTCAAGGAATATGAGAAGAGCAGGATAAGTAGCACGTGTGAGAGAGATAAGAAATGCATATAAAATTTTGGTCGGAAAACCTGAAAGGAAAAGATCTCTTGGAGAACTAGAGGTAGATTGGGGGTTAATGTTAAAATATGTTTTACAGAAACAGGATATGAGGATGTAAACTGGACTTATCTGATTCAGGATCTGAATCGGTTGTGGGCTCTTGTGAATAGGGTAATGAAATCTCAGGGTAATATGGAATTACACATCTTGCATTTATTAAAATATATATTTGTCATTGCAGTTTTATCACAGTTGTACATGAGATCCTAAATTCATTTGTATATATTACAAAAAAAAAAGTCCATTAAATTTAACAAGTTTGAATAGAGGTTTCTTTCATACAATAATCTGTTTTCAAAATAGTGACCGTTTAATGGGCCTATTAGACCAGAGAATGAGGAAAGCAGAAAAATTGTTTCATTTACCATAAAAATACATGAGCGTCTGTAAACATCAACTTCACGCTGTGCTCTTTGCAGTTTTGTTGAAAGAGCATTATTTTCTTTAATTGCTAGTGGGGTGGGACTAAGTCCCTTGCACTGCGGCCACTTCTGGCCTATTGTACCGGCCCCAGGTGATAGGTGAGGGTGATTGTGGAGCAATTGGTGGAATGAAGATTGGCAGGGGAAACCGAAGTAGTCGGAGAAAGCCTGCCCCAGCGCCACTTTGTCCACCACAAATCCCGCTTGACCAGACCCCGGGATCCAACCCGGGCCGCCGCGGTGGGAAGCCAGCTACTAACCGCTTGTGCTATGGCGCGGCCTTGAAAGTCGATTAAAGATCCCTTAACTATAAGTACAATGCAGGGCTTTTATGGCCTAGTAGGCATTTCGTTGTTCATATTCAGATAATATGCGAAACGCGTGTATACAAACAGAGCTCTTCTCGAAAGACAGTGGTTGTTGGAAGTGGGGCTACAGGCATATGCAGTAGTCCTCCGTATTTCATAGTGAAAATACGAGCTTCATATGATATTGTAATGTGGTATTTGGAAGAAATATATAAAATTAAGGCATAATATTGGCGTAATATCCGACAGCATGTTTTAACTCCAAACAATTTTGAAGATTTTGTTCAAATTTAGTGCTAGACGCTGCACGGATAATTGGCGATTGAGTTATAATTTAGATCTCCTTTACATGTAAACCAAATATGTGATATAATTTCTAAAGAACGGTCTGTCACAAAATACAAATTGAAATGAGGTATGTAAGTTTTGAGGTTTTCACGGCGATGACTATGAAGAAAGTCGTCTTCTGGGTTTAGGCGCCGTGTATTCTTCGTTTTGGCCGACGTTTCGGAGGAACGTATCGCCTCCATCTTCAGAGCAGTTGAATGGCTTGGAATGCAGAGAGCAGTAGCAGTACGTTCGTCCGAAACGTCGGCCAAAACGAAGAATACACGGCGCCTAAACCCAGAAGACGACTTTCTTCACTGAAATGAGGTAAATTATGAATCTTATGAAAGCCGTAGAAATTTTACTTAAAATA